CGGGCGCCTGTGGACGTGTGACAGGACCAGCCCACTCAGCACCCTCCCGAGTCTGGAAGCAGAACACCAACACAACGCAACAGGCTTACATAAACCAGCAGCACGGCTGCACAGACGTGTAAAATCCTCAGTGCAAACACACACACCTAGAACTCACCTTTAAAACAAATGCAGAAATTCTGACACCTACATTTGTTTGTTCACTTGCTGCTGTTATCATTGAAGTGAAATCTGCATAACATTAACCATGTGGGCGTCCCTGGTGGCGCAAGGGGTTAGTCCCAGCGCTGTGAAGCCGGGTCCTGCAGCACGCGGTCCACCCCGGCCAGGAGGGGCCCAGGGCGCAGCAGACTGCTCCCTTCTCCCCGCCGCCCCCTCAGCAGTGGGTTTCAGTGCACCCGCCTGTTCTGCTCCCCGCTGTCTCTGGGGCGTCCTCTCACCCCCCACACTTCTGGCCTGCACCCCAGCTCTTATATGCATGCATAATCTTCTAAAAACTTAGCCATGTAACACACCGCGGGAAGTGAAGACGGGCCACGGAAAGATAAACCTGGCATGACTCCTGTCATCAGAGGCCCCTAGAGAAGTCCGCCCCGTAACAGAAGTGAGAAGATGGGTGTCGGGAGTGTGGGGAGTTAGTGTCTGAAGGGGACAGTTTCATTTTTCAAGAAAATAGAAACCCCAGGGCCAGTGGCAGCTGGCCAGGCCTGCACAAGATGGGTATATTTACTTACTGCCACTGCACCGCGTACTTACAAGTGGTTAAAATGGTAAATATCACGTCATGTACATTTTACAGTTAAAAAAACACAGAGATGACTATGGTGGTGGCACAGGGGTGATTTGGTGATGGGAAACCCGTGGGGATTACAATTGAGATGAAAAAAAAAATGTGCAAAATGATGTAAAAATAAACTTTTTAATAAAAAAAAAAAAAAAAAACAAAAAACACAGAGATGAAGGTTACCCGACGGAAAAGCAAGGCGGGGTGGGAGGAGGCAAAAGCAGATGCGTAAGTGCCAGGAAGTCTGCAAAATCAGCATGGTCACCCCAGGCCCAAGGCAGCGCAGGCTGGACCGGCCGCGGGCGCGGGAGACGCCCCCTACTGGCCGCTTTCTGCTGTCCGCGTCTCTGGCACAAAAGCCGCAGTTCGGTTCTGCGTTCACTGTTCACTGACCCTCGTGCGTATCACCGAGAAGACAGACCCAGCAAACAGCACTCCCAGGGCCGCCATGCCCACTCGCACACCGCACGCTGGTTCCCTCCCACCTTGGTTTTCATACTGGGGTGCAGTCCACACCGTGTAAAATTTACCATGTAAAAAGCAAACTTCGGTGGTACTCGGTGAAGTCGCTGTTACCCGTTGCAGGGAAGCCGGGTGTGGGGCAGAGGTGTGGGGGTGTGAAAGAATCCCCCAGAGTGAATGGGGCGGAAGGGCAGCTTTACTGAACACCCTGGCGGGAGGATGAGACCAGCGGTGCCCGCGGCCCTGCGCGGGGGTCCCCGGTCAAGGCTCACACCGCGCGGCGGTGTCCTCGGTCTCCCAGAAGGTGTCCGGGGCACAGAGACGCGGACACTCCGCGCGGCTCTCAGGCAGGCAGGTTTCACTCAAAGTTGCCAAGCGTTGGAGGCAGACAAAATGTCCCAGAGAGGGTGAAAGGCTGATGAACTACAGAAAAACCAGACAGTGCAATGATATCCAGCTCTAAAAAGAAATGGAGTCCGAGCCAGAAAGAGACGCGGAGGAAACGGCTCGAGAGCTCACGGTGAGTCCACCGGGAAATGGGACAGGTCAGAGGACTGGGCCGCCGACAGCCGGGAAGGACACGCTGCAGAGACAGGCCAGACGGGGCGGCTGGAGGGCCCAGGGGTCACGGTGGGCGAGGCTGAGGCCTGCGGCCACGGACCTGGCCAGAGGCCGAGTGGAGCCCCGGATTCTGCTCTGGGCGCTGACCTTTGACACGGATGCTCCTGGCCCAGCGCCTGCCACTTCTAGGCCACGTCTCAGGGCGACCTCACCGGTCCCTAACCAGCCGGAGCCTCCAGGCCTACCTGCCGGGGTGGGGGTTGGTGTTTAACATTAATTTTGTTAAAGATTCACATGTTTATGCATATAGGAACTGAGGCACAGGTCCTGAACCTGACCTGACCCACCTCCTGTTGACCTGCCCTGCAGGGTTCCTGTAAGCGGCCCCACCCTGCACC